AAAATGTTTTTGTGGAGATTTTTTGAAGTTTCACACGGTTTGTTTGCTCACTTGCTTGCTCCAGATGCATTTTCTTATCTGCCGACTTTTTGACATTCCTATAACAGTTTAGTCCTACCACACTGCCCCAAAAGACCAGAATAAATACGATTGCACAAACAGGGGGACTTGACGTACAAGAAACAGATACCCTTGTCTTGTGATTTCGTGAAACATAATACAAACTTATAACAAAAAAATTTTTAGTAAGCAATTTGTTATTACAAGAAGCAATTAAGTATTAACAATTTATCACCCATTTTTAAACAAATTAATGTAATTATTAGATTCCTATGTCAGAGTACACTATAAAATTATTTACAGTGTAAATACTATAATTGTACAACAATGTATCATAAGATTTTCACAAAGTGTTATATACATAGAAAAATTTATCAACAATTCAATTCATTATTACTCTTCAGTTATTCAAGAAATTTATCAGTACTCTCCACCATCAATTACCGATAATATGTACAGAGTAACATGAAAATGGGAGGTACGTGTAGTGAGTGCAAATCTATCTAATGTAAAAAAGCATTGCACAATTTGTACATCCGAATTTTACAGCATACACTGTAAAACAGCATCATGCGCCTTGCAAGATTTTTAAAATATTGGGATGCATAAGGATTACTTCCCCCATACTAAAAATTTTCAACTATCTAATCTTACAATAACAGACTGCTTGGTTAACCTTTTGTATTTTGAGTGTCTAGTTTTGTGTTCAAACCAGACTGTTTTCATAATAATTTTGGCATTAGGGAAAATATCCTGTCTTGAAAGAATCTTAGAACTTTGTAACATTAGTGTAGAAATTAGCAACCAAACATGTTAGATATCTTTTAAAATACTTCACGATATGTAATGTGCTGTAACAAAATTCTTTAGCATCACTTAAAACTAGTTTTATGTATGTTAAATATTAATTTACTATATTTAAAATTTAAATATTGTAAAAGCTATATTGTATATATAATTTTAAATTTTTTTAAATATACAAATAAGAAAACTCAAAATGCTCAGGTTACTTACACTAAATTGTAAGATTTTTAATTTTATATTTATTAATAAAGTATCAAGTTCTGAAATGATGACTCTTTTCATTAGCTGGTCGACACCATTATATTTTTGCAACAGGTTCATCCGTAAACTATGTTTAGGGGAGGGGTTTCAGACCACATAGGGGGAGGGATAGTTAAGGTTAAAAACCAAGTGGCTATAATAATTTAATAAAATAAATTACATACTGTATTTGACTAAATATTGTCTTATTAAGTTAATGCGGATCATGCGCTGACAATGCAAGAAAATCAGTTAAGCACAAGTTCTCTTTGTAATACTGCTTACCCTCTTTATTTGACTAAAATGTCATGTGTTTGCTTAACCCGCTTAAGAACTATCAACAAAATCTAAATGTCAAAAAGTATTATCTAATTTCTGATCCATCCGAATTCACAAATTAAATAGAAACCTACATGGGTCCTGCTTAAAAATTTTTTACCCTCTAAAAAGAGTAAGAATGGAAAGTAAATTTAATCTATTCTGTATTCATCCAGAAATGAATGTCATTTTTATAACAGTTTAAGTAAGTTGGGTTATAGTTTTACTCCTTGCACCCCACGAGCACTAAGAGGGCTTTTCTCCTCTGTATCCAAAACAGGAGCAGTTGCACGAGGGATGGGACCTGACATATCCGAGAGAGAGACCCACGAAAAATTCTGGGAATCGTTCTCTGGTTTCACAGAATGGAGGGCCAGTGCCCTAATTCATTAAATCCACAATATTGCTATAATTTCACTTCAAACTACATCCGACAAAATTTATAGTTATTGCATTATTTAGTTTATTACAAATTTTGAAAAATGCAACACTTCTCCCCGCCAAAAAAGTTGTTTATGAACTTCTGTAATGAAATATGACAGCATATTTCATTATGAGATTTCTTGGTTATTCTAACTTAAGAATGACAATAATCTTACAAATATCAATTTGTTGAAAATAGTATCCTAACCTAGTTATGATTTAACTCAAGTTATTTAACGTTTTTAATTATTTAGGCATATTTTCAGTTGATGTAATCGGATGTAAGGTTAACCCTCTTATAACGCAGTACTTGTTCTATTGAAATTACATCATATGATACAAGAGTTTGTATGAAATTGTCTTTCATTTACAATAGTTTGAATATTCCCCCTATATGGCGAAATCTTTACTTTGCCATGAAAAATTCACATGTAAAAAATTTTGGAACATAAACCCATTTTTTATACGTAATATGATATTTATAACAGAGTTTATGTGGAACCTAACTACGTTACACGAGGGTTTTTAAAAAATTTGTTCATAAAATTTCTGTGAAATCATTAAAAACTTGTATAATTTATGAAAAATAAAATATATAAACAAAACTTCAATAAATTTTTATAGAACTTTTTTAAATACATTAAATCAATTTTTTCTTTTATAATTAAAATTAGATGGCTAAACATTTAAAAATTAATTACCAATAATAATACAATTATTTATACAAACCAAAATCTAAGTTACATAGTTTTTACAGGATGCATTATTGTATTTATTGGATTTTCTTGATAAGTTCTTTGATGCTAAACTTTAGTTTTATTAAATTAACAAAATTCATTCAAATTCAAGATTTTAATTCTCAGAAAACACTTGATATGTTTACATTTTGTAAACATTAATCCTAGCCTGACAGTCAGTGTTTCTAGAATTGACTACTAAATTTGTTTTCAAATTATGTGTATGAAAATTTATGTAGTTTATCAAAAATGCAAATGCTGTCGGCCACTGTGTCAAAATGTAATCTATTTAGTACAGAATTATCATTTTAACACTTGCTTTCCATATAATTTAACATTGAGATAATTGTATTTGGTCTACAGTAACGTATTGTAATATGGTGAAACTTGGTTAACTCGAAGTTGTTTTCTTTTGCCGATCGTCTAGCCTGGGGATTTGTGCGTTATATCAACTGGTAAACAGCTCAAATTCGAGTTAAACTCGAACAGGGTTTTATTAAAGTTTTTTCATAAACATTTTAACAATATAGTTAAAATGTTTTTTTAAAGTATGTTAATNACTGTCTATCTTCCAAATTTCGCCACTAGGGGTGGTACTGTCATTTGCATTAGGTCAGGCGTAGTCGCTTTACTATACTGTTACCTCACTTGCATAGCTGCAGCTCTCTCTGTTCACAAGAATTTTCTGGTTAAAGGGACTTTCCTATTCACCCTGTACACTGACAGGGTGTATCAAAACTCACGGTACAAACATCAGGAGGTGATACAACACAACTAGACAAGCATAAATCACTCTACAATGCATGCTCAGAACTCAAGCAGTGAAGCACTAGAGGGCAGTACTTGCTGTTTCATAAAATGATAAATAAGAATTACAGAGGAATGAAAGAAAACCAATGAATTTAAGGAAAATGTTTCATTCAACATTTTATTACAGCAACTGGAAGGTTCTCGGATCTGGCACCCGTCTTGTCGGAAAAGGACTTCCCTTGCATTTCTGTCTGCAGCTAATGTACATGTAATGCATATCTGCCTTCTGATTTGTGTATGCATCCATCTCATCAGTAATCCACAGCACAAATGATGAAAGCTGCTGTGAACAGCACTTTTACTGTGTTTGCTGGGAAGTGCCCTCTAGCAGTTTACTACTTGAGTTCTAAACAAGCATTGTAGGATAATTTGTGCTTGTCTAGTTGTGTTCTATCACCCTCTATCGTTTGTATCATGAGTTTTGATACACCCTATATAGAATCAGTCGAATGTATTAACAGAATTTAGAACTGATTTTATGGTATATTTGGAAAAAAAAATCTCTTATGAACATGGATCCTATTATCAGTATTTAAAAAGCTACAGCTTTGCAAACAAAAAAAATTACATGATTCATGTTTTGGATAGTAGTAAACAGAACCAATAAGTAAAAAGCAACATGTTTTTCAAAAAGAGTTTATTAAACAAAGCAACAGTATAATACTAGGTTTACAAAATGTGATTAAACATCATCCACAACTTCGATGCACTTTGTATCACAAGTGTATATACTATATACAATAGAAGAAAGGACAGGGATATGGCATCAACCAGTATTCAATGTGCTGTACATTTAAAATGTAATGCATTTTTATTCAACTAATATATTTATAAATAATATGTAGCCCAAAAAAGTAGCCAATGCGCCAAATGATATTTTTTACGCCAAACTAATAAAAGGGTAGCCAAATTTGGCTCAAAGTTGACAAATCTTGCAATGCTGGAAGGAATACTAAATAAAGCTGGTGTTGGGTTCAAAGGATTACAGACCCAAATGCGGGGAAAGGAAAGATTGGACAAAAATGAGGAAGGTTGGAAAATTAAGGGTCAATATGTGCATAACAGAAGGTCTATTTAACCATTCTCACTACTTTTTATCTTTTGGCCTTTCTCTCCTTTCCCTGAATTTGACTCTATACTCCTTGAGTCACAACTCCAGCTTTACTTAGTATACCTTCCTCATTCACACATTTCCAAGTATTTGAAAATATTTCCTTTCCACTCAAAAATAAAATATATATAAAGGTTTATGGCTTTCTGAAACTTCTTTGAGTTTATGCCATTGAAATAAAAGAAAAAATATGTCTGTTTTGTTTATACATTTATTGGGTCGCATGCGGCCCGTGGGATGGACACCCGTTCTACATAATAAAACCCACGGAAATATTGTTGGTTGGATGGTTTAGGGGCCATTAATAAATCAATGCATAAAATCTTTATTCTTACCTCAGCTCTAAGTCTGAATTATTTTCACCCAACTGTTTCGAGTTAACCAAGTTCCTTCATTACCCAAGACCAATTAATCATTCGTACTTAAAGTAACAAATTTATACAGTTGTTTAAGAACAATTTTAACATTACTAAATATAAAACTTCATTATTTTTCAGATTGTAAGAAAGAGGAGTTTATTTTACATGAGCAGTGTGTTACTGTTTGTCCCACTGGATATACAAATATAACTATAGATCAAGACAGGGCATTGTGTGTTGTTTGTCACTACACCTGCTTTTCTTGTTTTGGTCCCAATGATTATCAGTGTTTATCGTGCCATGGAGACTCTGTTCTAACAGATGATCAGTATTGTTTGCCCAAGGTATTGTCTGATCGGCTCAGTGTTATTGGCAAGTGGTATGTTGCTGTGACTGTTGTATTTGTATTTTTAAGTATCATGATAGTCTCTGCATTTGTTTATGTATTTCTCTACCATTCCAATCTATTTTGTAAAAAAAATGAAGGTTATGTTGGCCTAGAAAAAACAGAACCACTACAGTTCAGCCTTCATGACAGTGAAGAAGAATAATGTAGTTTATTTTGGTTTTTGTTAAATTCATTCTCAAATTTTATTTTTTTATACGGTGCATGAATTTAAAAATGAAAATTCAAGCAATATCATGTTCAAAGATGAACATGGCATTTTATATTTTTACACAAGTTTTAAAATTACTTAACCATGAATATCCTTAATACTAAACCAAACTGCCTAACTTAGTATTTTGGATACTGATATGGAAATTGTTATTTTGTACTTCTATTTTGTAATAAAATTAATTTTCTTAAAATTCTGTACACAAATTTAATTCAGATTGTTCTCAGGCACCTGTCTCTACAGAGATAAATGTTTTATTTAAATGAGACAAAACTGCCTTTTAGTTTCCAATATTTATTGTCATCAATACTTAATAAATAAATTTTTTTGTTCCGATATATACAGAATATTCACAAATAAGCATTTAACCTAAATATTTTCATATGACAAAATAGATTTAAAATATCAAATTTTATAAGGAAAATAGAAACAAAATTTTAGAAAAGTGATATAAAAGTGAAAGAAATTTACTGTATTTTTTTTTTATCTTGATTGCAAAAGTTTACAACTACATTACAACTTATTTAAAAAAATATAGCTTTGATCTTCAATTTAATATATATCCATTTGAAACCATTCACCTGGGAAAGAGAAGAGGCTCAGAATTTAAAGGCAACTGGTTGAAAATTGTTTCCTTACAATTTTCAAATGGAAACCAATCCTTTTTGATTAATATGGATGACAATTTGTAAAGTGAACAGGGAAGCTAAACAGTTGTTTCATTCATAGATTCTTCTTTGTTCATATTTAGAGACATTGGCCTTTTCAACAATATTGGAGGCTGTTTCTCATTCATTTTCTCATCCACATCCATAAAGTTCTTAAGATGTTCAGTGAGAACTTTTAATTTACTTCCATCTAATTTCTGTGATGGACAGTTTTCATTTAAGCTGAAAATAAGAAAATAAATATATATTAGCTATGTTTAATAAATACAATAATTTAAATAACTAATTTAATATTAATATTATTAAAGTGCTAAAAAAAGGGAAATTTATCAGTTTTGAGATAAGAATTCTTAATATATTTTTTGTTGGAATAGATGTTTACTCTTAGTTTCATTTAAATTCACTTAACATTAATTGTGTATAAATTTTACTAAAAATCAAGAAGAAACCAAATATGTAGTGAATTAGGAAAGAAAGCATTTAAGAATTGATTGATAGTTTTTATACTGAATATAAAATATCATTCTAAGTATTTGTTTTGAATGTTAATTCTCAAATGTACTGAATATGATTTTTATGAAACCATAGTCATTTTAAGGTTAGAAGAGTTTTGTTAGATGTATAGTAAGAATTATATATACAGTTATTCATTCAAGATGTTTTGACATTTTTGTTAAGGTAATCAATTCTTATCCTACAGACAGCATGTACAGTACATGTGCAGAAAAATTTGAAACATGTGAATAATCCTCTTCCTTAATGGAGATTGGTACCAAGATTACTGCAATATGTAGTCAAATGAAGAAAAATATTGACTGGTGTATGTGTATGTTAATATGTTGTGTTCCTTGTCTTGGCTGATTTTTTTGTCTGTCAATTGTCTTTGATTAATGCACACTAACTGAATATATCACTGAAACAATGACCAATGAGATGATTGAAGTTTAAGTTTCATTATTAGATCATGTCTAAGATTAGAAATGATTCCGAAGAATTTCCTTGATTAGGGAACAAATCAAACTCAAATTTCCTGTTATTACAACACATTAACATTAAATAATAAACACTTCTTTACAATGGGCGAATTTTAAATAAATTAAAATGATCTTATTCCTAATTTAACAGAATCTCAATCAAGAACAATAATTAATGGTGACAAAATGATATTTCATGGACTAACATTACAATGTTTACAAATCTCCAAAACAAAGAAGCGCCTACATAAATTCTGCTTTTATGAGAAATACTTTCTTATAATTAATTCCATGATAATACAATTCTTTATTAATATATGGATATAAAGAAAAAATGTCATTGTTCAGCACTCACTTTCTAACAAAATTGCTAAAATACAATAGAATCCATTTATTGTGATCAGAAATGGCATGTCTTAAAAGTTAAGAAAAGTTTTACTAGTATTTTATTGCAGAGCTTCAGGTAAAAAATGCACACTAAAAGCTTTGAATTTCAGTTATGTTTTGATGCTAATAGGCAATGATTAACCATTATCAGCTATTGTTAACAATGACAATAAACAAAAAATTAGCAAGTAAATAACTAGTGGTTTAAATATTAACACTTCTAACTGTTGTTTGCCTGCTATTTCTGCAGTACTGTTAATTAATAAATCTTTATTATTATGTTGGGTTTTATGAGTTATACTCGGTTCACACCGGTGGCTCTGTACTATGCCGGACCAGAGTCAAGGCATAGCAACCAAAACTAAATAAGTGTGTCAGTGTCTGTATTCAGAAATTTCCTAACAATGTGGCATGTATTCAATATAGTGGCCTTCTGTAGTGTGATGTATGTATTTCTATTCAATTGTAATGTTCCCAGGCTTTTGTGTAGTGTGTGTGGTATCACACCTGTACAGGAGAGAATGACAGGTACAATAAGCACCCTATCCATCCTCCACAGATGCCTTATTTCCTGGGCAAGTTCTGTGTACTTGCTAATTTTCTCAGTGCATGCGTTTTGTAGTCTACATTGTGAGTGTTTGGAATGGCTATGTCTATAATGTACAGTAGACCTCCCTATAAAATGGGTTCCTATAATTAAGATTCCTATAACATGACGAAAAAATTGCGACGGTATCCGTATAAAACGGTAAAAAAACTCCTATAATTAAGTAAAATGTCATCGGGCAGCCGAACTACTTTCCGCCATCCAGCGCCACACTATGGAGAGATTACTATTGTCTGTACAGTATTATATATAAATTAGGTACTGTATATATAATTATATATTAACTTAATTTATTGTAATTTTATTATAATTATATATATACTTTCAGCCATCTAGCACCACACTACGGAGAGTTTAGGCGAGTAAGTTGTTTACTATCGTCTGTACAATATGTAAATTAGGTACTGTATTAGACGTAGGTCTAATACAGTACCTAATTTACATAAAATTACAGTACTGTAATTTTATACATTTCTTGTGAAAGAAACATTTCTTATTCAACAGCCATAAAAATTATTTATATTAATGATGTCTCCAAAGTTCAACAAAGTTTTCACAGAAAAATAAGTTATCAGAAATCGACTGCGGTTTGGTGTGCTGCTCCGCGACGAAAACAAGCTTGAGCAATGGCGATGTTGAATGGTGCACACTCAGTAAGTAATCCTACAATTTTTTGTTTATAGTGTAGTTTATACGGATTATTTTCAAAAAAAATATACGTATTTTGGAAATGTTGAGTCGGATTAGTCTAGAATCGATTAATTTTAAGGAAGAAAACCTTTCAAACCGCCGTAGTCCGTAAACTTCACACGTATCGGGCTGTGATTCGCAAGGACTCGTAAGAAATCGATTCATAAAGAATGGAACGTATCTACCGTCTTATGTTTGTCAATGAGTGTGATGTCTGGTCTGTTGTGGTAAATTGTTTTATCTATGATTATGGCTCTGTCGTCGTACAGTTTGTGCGTGTTGTTTTCCAATACTGTCTGTGGAATATATTTGTAGTATGGTTCGTGAATGTCTAATAATTTGTGTTTCTTTGCAAGCTCATGGTGTATTATATTTGCTACTTGATTATGTCTGTGTAAATAATCTGTCTGTGCCAAGAGCTTGTACCCAGATGTAGTGTGTTGTATTGTTTCTGGCATGATGTGACATTTTCTGCATGTGTCATTTGTGAGTGTTGTATCTTTGAGTATGTATTTTCTGTAGTTTTTAGTATTTATGACCTGATCCTGTATGGCAATCATGAATCCTTCCGTCTCCCCAAAGAGGCAATCCCGATCTAACCAGCTGTTTGACGCAGTTCTGTCAACAAAATCCTGGGCCAGGTCATAAGGATGCCTGCCAAGGAGTGCCTTTCAAGCCCACGCTTGCTTGATGATTTCTATGTTTTTTATATGTTGTGTCACATCTGTATGATGTGAGTGTAAGTTTAATGGTGTGTTATTTGAGTCTGCTAGAGTTACTGCTTTATGTAATTGTAATGTTTCTTGTAGAAAAACTCTCGCAGTGATTGTATTTGTTTGTAGTAAAGGTTAACTATGTCAATCAGGCCACGTCCGCCATCTTTACGTGGAAGGGTTAATCTTTCTGTGGCAGATTTAGGATGATGTTGTTTATGCTTAGTTAGTGTTGTTCTTGTTTTCCTTTGGAGTTGCTCGAGATCTGTGTGAGTCCAATGTATAACTCCAAAAGAGTATGTGAGTACTGGGATAACATATGTGTTTATTGCTTTAACTGTGTGTTTTGAGAATGGCATTTAACCTATTTTGGTATTCTTTAATTAATCTTTGCTTTATTTGTGTATGTTCCGTTAGTTTGGCCTGTTGGAATCCTAAATACTTGTAGAATTCCCCCTCTTCCATGGATTCAATAACATCCCCATTTCCAAGTGCAAAATCTTCTTTCTTCAGGATTCCTTTTTCTATGTGAAGCTTTTTGCATTTGTCTAAGCCAAACTCCATTTGTATGTCCTTGGTGTATGAGTGTGTGATATGTAGGAGCTGCTGAAGTTGTTTTTGTGTGGATGCATAAAGTTTTATGTCGTCTATGTACATGAGATGTGACAGTGTAAACTGTGTTGTTATTTCATGTCTGATATTGTAGCCATATTGCGTGTTGTATAACATGTTGGATAATGGGTTCAGGGCTAGGCAGTACCAGAGAGGACTCAAAAAATCTCGTTCAAAAATTCCTCGCCTAATGAATATTAGGTTTGTTTGTATGGAAGTGTTACTAACCTTGAGATGTAGTGTTGTTCTTCAGTGCTGCATAGTGTTTTGGAAAATGCAATGAGTAATGGATGTATTTTGTACACATGTACAATATGTAGCAGCTGACTGTGTGGAACATTGTCAAATGCTTTTCTGTAGTCTATATATGCCATGTGTATGTTTCTGTGTTGTTTGTGTGCTTGCCATAGAATGACTGGATCTATGAGTAAGTGTTCTTTGCATCCCCTGTGATTTCTACTGCAAGCTTTTTGTTGTTCTGTAAGAATGTCGTGTTCTTTAACATGTCTGTATATTTGGTTTGCGACACATGCTGTCAATAATTTGTAGAGTGTTGAAAGACAAGTAATTGGTTTGTATTGTGTGGGGTCTATGGTGGTAGTGTTTTTAGGTTTCATGTAGGTGATGCCCTGAGTAAGAAAATTTGGCATGTTTCGTGGGTTGATGATGATGTGTGTTAGATGTTTAGCTAGTTCCTGGTGCAGTGATGTAAACTTTTTATACCAGAAATTGTGAATGTTGTCTACACCAGGTGTCTTCCAGTTGTGTGTTCTGTTAACAGCGTAGCGAATGTCGTGTA